TAAGTGTTTGTCCTTCCCAGATTTCTTGAGGCAAACACTGCAGACTTGGGACTTCAGAGCAAGCTAAGGATAGCTGATTCATTATTTTGCTATATACAACCATGTTTGTGTCAAAGGCTGGGATTAATACATGTCTCAGAAGGCCTGCACAGCATTACCTTTCATTTTCTGTCTTTCAAGATTAATCTTGGGTTAAGTGAATGTCTAGTGAATGGTCAGAGGCAATTCAAAGCTGGTGAAATCATCATGAGAGACAAAGGTATGATTTCATACATATCCAAAGCTTGGAGTAGTTAACAGCTCTTCTTACCACAGACAAGATTAAAGCTTTATATAAAACTACATTTATTTATTTGTCTCTTTATTGTGAATAATGTCAGTAGAAGAAATGGAGTCAGACAGCATAACTGCCATATGACCTTTATCCTGCATGAAAACTGGTCAGTCTCATTCTACTTTGTGGATGATGGGAGGAGAAGGGCGTTGGTATGTCTGGATCTGCTAAAACAGATCTGCAGAGTTGAGCATTAGCATCCTGAGGACACTGTAGCCAACCCCCAAACAATTACAACAACTTCACTTTAGTACTGAATAAAAGGGAAGCAAGCCTGGTGCCTGTGGGACTCCAGAGCAGAGAGGCCTTGTCAAGGGGGGGGTGGTGGTTGAAGGGGAAAAGAGGCAAAGCTATTAGTAATTACTTTTGAGTTGTTGTTTTTAAAAGAAAATTCCATGCATATCAAAATGTAAATGAAGTAGAAAGGTTTTCAATAGCTGCCCAAAATCATGCTCTAGTTTACAGAGAAATCCAGCATCTCTCAAGATACTAAAAATGGATATTGGACAATATTTACTCAAGGATTTTTTTAAATTTTTTTTTATTTTTTCCCCCCTCCTTTATTGCCACACTACTGAAAATAGTGAGACAAAACAAAGTGTCACAAAATCTTCTGGAGCCATCTCAAAGACATGTCAGTCCTAGCTTAGTACCAGAACAGTTTAAGTGGACAGCACTTGAAAACTAGAAAGCTCCTGTTCTGCACCTTGTGTCATAGTTAGAATGGGACAAGTCACCATTATGTTCTTTGTCCCTTGATAAAGAAAATAGGGACCTAATTTGCACCCAGCATTTTGACACGCTAATATGAAGTAATTATAACTCTGTAGGTATGTAAATCTTTCCACCCACTGGCTATTTGATTACTGATTTGCTCAGGTACTAGCCTTACAGAGGGAGAATTGTTTTGTACCTTGTTGGCAACTGTAGTAGTAACAACTCAGCAGTAACTCCCACCTGTCCTGTAAAAGCAGCGGTAGCTTTAGCTTCATGCTGGGTGCTCCTTCTCCTCCTGGCAGGGACTGCAGGATGGATTACTTCTGGGTGACCCCTTAGGGGCTGCAGAGCACACTGCGATCCCCGGCAGTGGCTGGAGGGACTCACTGTCAATTCGCTTCAGTGTTCTGCCACCCCTGAAACTGTACAGAACTTGTAATTTCTAAACCTGTGGTGGTATTATGAAGAAAGAGCAGCATCTGTCTTCGGTCCACCTTTGAAACTTTCATGCAAGTTACTTAATGACTCCACTGTTCTATCACTCTGTTGTAATTGAATTCTTGCATATTTGATTAGGCACAGTATTAAATCTAATAACCATGCATGTGGAAATACAAAACCTCCTCCCTTTCTGCCTTTGAGCTGGCTAATATTTCACCATGATTATAATGTGATTTCTAAGAAGTAATCTTCATTTCCCAATCTATCAAAACACACAGAGAAGCTGTTTTTTTCTGATTTTTTAAAATAATAGTATGAAAAATTAATACATACTAAGTTTTATTTTGGGTGGAAAATGATGGAGTGCTACTTTGAAAATGTAAACCTGAGCAGCTTATTCACAACTGCACAGGTAGGTTAAGGATTTTCAGGGACACGGCTATAAGATTCAGTTGCAGATGAACAGTGTGTAAGAAAAACCTTGGTTCATGGTACTGTAGCTTAGAGGGATTAAACGCAAATGATGACACAAACCAAACCTTTTCAAAATATTTCTAAACCACCTGTTAAACTCTTGGTATTGCTATGAAATATGTGTAGGTTATACTTACAGGTAAAAGCCTTACCTAACTCAGATTTATAACAAGTAATCTGAACAATAACTTTCTAAATATCACTAATGATATACAATTAAGTAAGTTCTGATTAATATTGTTTTCGGAACAAGCAAGAATTTGTAAAAGTAATCTCTGCTGAGGAAGTTAAAGAAAATCTGAGGCACAATATATTGAGAAAATAATAATTTAGCTTTAACTAGAAAAGGTTTTGATTGCTTCTTTTCATGTGTCCACCAGCAAATAAAAAATAAATTATCTTATTTTTTAAGCCACTATATTTTAAAGGATCAATATCTTGGCTTATAAAGAATACAAATTTATTATGAGGAGTTCAGGAATCACATAATTCTTTTTTTTTTCTTTTAGATTTGCCAGCAAATACATTAAGCTACATATAATAAAGACATTTATATCCTAAAAAAACCCAACCCTTAAGGCTACTTAACTGAACACTAAGAACTGAGAACCAGTGCTTGCTTATGTCCAGTAATGCTTTTGCATCCTGTGGATACGAGACATACAAGATATACAGAAAAACAATTTTTTATGACCTTTTTCAATTTATGGGAACATCCAGTTTGAAGAGTTACAGTAGAACTGGCTAGAACAGTTGGGTAAAGACCAAAACAAATTCATCATTACTTTTGTGGACAACCTGTAATTATTACAATTTCACGTAATAAGATCATGGACTTTTTTTATTTGCTAGTCCTAAGAAGCTGAGACACCCTTTGCAACAAACAGTGTTTCTTCTGTTCTTGTGGATTGAGCTGGTTCCTTGGGAATGTTCTTCTCACACACCTTTAGAAATGTGGCATACAGATACATTTTTTTGGTGAAAATATTGAATTACCCAAGGATTAGAAATACAGCAAAGACTGAGTTACCCCAAAATGGATCTGCCAGAAGACAGGCAGCTGAGTCCACAACAATGCAAACATATTTCTTGAAAAAACAGTTAGAAGTTGTTCTAAATCCTCCCTGATGCTGAATGTTATTGCACACTGTACTGACTTGTGGAACTTAGAGTGGGCAAAGAGCTATTTTAATTTATGCAAGCGAAGGAGTACATTATAGCTGAGTTGCATTTGCTATATTTAACTTACATCTGTTTCTACACTTACCACAGAGCGTGCTACTTTGTAAGATTTTTTTTCTGAATCTTTTTGTAGATTTTTTTTTGAGAAATCAGCATTTGTAACTGTTGAATTTACAAGTAGATAAAAACTTGTTGTATTGGGAGGAATTTGCTTGTTACCAGAGATAACTAGCTTAAGGGTAAGGAAGCATTTGCTGGGTTGGGTTCTTGCCTGAGGAGGTCACGGTCACATTGAAACTCTCCTTCTTTTACGTGCTTCCAAGCACCTCACTAGTGTCAGTTTCAAGCTATAGAGTCAGTGGGTCTGCTTTATTCTTTCCTGTTTTACTCTTTCCTGCTTTACTCTTTCCTGCTCTCCTTGGACTGCTTCTCTTTGCACAAATTATAGTAAGGATCAGAGAAAGAGTTGGAGATTGGACTTGGGTCCCATATCTGCAGCACGTGATTGGCGCAGTTGCAGGTGTTCAGTATCAATATTTTACAAGAGAATCACCTTTTAAAATGGGGATTAATGAAAAATGATCTTACAATGTTTAAGGAACTCGTAAGCAGATAGAAATACCTTAAATGTGGATGTCAGGCATCTCAGGAACATTTCCCAGTCTCTAGGCTGTTTGATATTCCAGATTCTGGGAATTCAGTTTTCATTCTGTTAATGTCCGAATAGGAATGTTGGTTACTGAGGGTGGGACTGTAATACTTTTGAAAGATCTTGGTTTCACCCTACTACATAATGATGATAAATTCTGGAATTATGAGCTGATTCGCTAATTGGCCTTCCTGCTTTCCCAGCCAGTTTTGTTGGTCATGCTTTTTTATGAGCCTTTTGCTTCTTTTACAGAGCTCTTAGCCTGTTTTTTTAATTTCTTAAAGAGTGTGGAACACCAAATTGTAAAGTGTCTCCCCCTGTTTTTTAACCAAGTGATTGCCAAGCACCACACGGAATAATTAGGTTATGAAGAATTTATTTTCCAGATTTTTTTTTCTTTTTTGTAAAGTTCAATTCAGAGCAATATTGTTCATGGGATGAGGCAAACCAGCCTGTCTACTTTGGGCAGTGCTTACACCAAAAGTTTGGGCACCTTAGCAGGAAGAAAAAGAACATACATGTTTGTATTTTTTACATGGTCAATGGAAAGGCATTGGTGCTCCTAGTAGTATGAAAAAAGAGATTCACTCCCTGCTGTGTTAGGTGCTGCCTTCAGTGCACATATTTTGCAGTGCTTCAGCAGCCTCTTGAAGCAATCCTGTTACCAAAGCATCCTTTTTCTTTATTATGGCTTCTGGGAGGATGAGCAAATCCCAGCAAATGGTGCTAGTGACCATTTGGTGGTGAAGTTATTCATTCACTGAGGCAGAGGCTGGGCAGCTGTACCCTGCTTTGCTGGGCTGACTCACAATGCCAACATCTGCATCCTAGGAGATCACCCTAGTCCTCTGGCCATGGAGTACACTGAGTGAAAGCACTCTCCAGGCCTCCTAGTTTGCTTTGCATTGGACATGAAAACATTGATGGGGTCATCAGGACAGTAACAAAAAATAACTCATTCCCCTGTCCTCTGGGCAAGGCTTTCAGAAGGGACACAGGTGCTGTTTTTGTCAGGTCCCCTGGAGTGCACGTGTTGTTTCCAGCCAGCCTTGGAAGCAGGGATGTAATACTGGTCCCTACTGCCTCACAAGTGTGTGCTGTAGTCACTGAGTGCTCTCTGGGTTGCATGCCTGGCTGCACAGTGTCTTAGTTTAAAAAAGAGAGATTAAATATGTCCTCAAGTAAGATATTGTGTGTATGACTTGTTTGTTTTCAACTTTCCCCTTGGATTTGGGTATGGTCCATTTTGTGTTGTGCTGATTAAGGACTTTTTCATGCTGGTGGAGGTGAATTCTGACAATTGTTAAGATTTCGTTATCAAACATAACCTTTTGTACCTGGTAGATTTCAAGAAACTTTGTGTTCCTGTGAATGCAAGCTGAACCATTCTTTCTGGAGCCCATGGTTTCGTCTGTATTCAACTGTGAAGACTCCACGGCCTAGCAAGTCCCTGGGCAAGGTGGCTGCTGGCATTGCCCCTGCTGGTAATACGAGTACACTTGCTGTTTCCAGTAGCTAACACAGCTGAGGGAAGAGAAAAGTTCTGGTTTCTTCAGTGAAACTCATAGGAGAATTATCCTGTCGCTTGAAGAAATATCTCAAAATTAATTTTAATGTATTTAATTGTTAAAACTTTCTAACTATTTGTCATAATCAAGGAAAGCTGCCCTTCATTTGCTTTTCAAAAAGGCTCTTCCTGGGAGGGAAATTTCTTTTGGGTACCTGTACCTTTCCAACAAAAATAGTATTTTAAAATATTATTGGAGTGTAGCTACCTAGCAAAGACTGGCTTAAGGAAATCTGACTATATATACCTCCCCATATTTTCCACTCATCTAATACTTGGAGTTGTATGAAGTCACATAAAAGGGAAAGCTTTTTTGCTTTCACTTTGAAACATTTGCAACAAGTGCAGACAATCTTCTTGACACCTAGATACCTATTAAGCTCTTCAGATGTTTGAGAGCCATCATACCCATACCTTATACCTGGGAAGCCAAGAGGAAAGGAAGCACTAGGAGGAATCTCATGGCGGTCTCAAGACTGCTGTGGCTGGATCTGATGTGAAGTTTGTGGCAATGACTGCCAAGACATTCCT